ACCTGGGCACAAACAGATCTGGGCACAAACAAAAACACCTAGGCACAAACACCTGGGCACAAACAGATCCCCCCTGATACCTCCAGCTCAAATACACCCCAACCAGGCACCCAGATGAAACCTAGCTTCCTAATAAATGATAGCCGTCCATTTACTTGGAGCCAAGCTGCACTAAAAGCCTCCAATACAGGAACACAATGTTGCCAGCCAATCAAGACAAAACAGACAGAAGATATTAGAAACACCAATCAAGCAGAACACAGCAAACTCTAAGACCAATAAACACAGACCAAGACTCCCAACTAATCAGGATGAAGAAAAAACCATTCTGGCACAGCAGTAGGCTAGCCCCAAATTTAAAACTGAAATGGCTGTGAAAGTCTGACTCACAGACGAACACAATACAGAAGCCTGATGATGGCAGATGAGATTCTGCCCAAACGTTGCTACATCTTTAAAAGCACAACTATAATGACGTGGGAAAATACCCAAACAAAGCTGAATACCATACATGTAAGTACCCGCGAAAACTTAAGAAAACAAATATGTGTGTGTGTGTGTATGCATAACTTACATATAAAAAGTATAAGGGTAGGTGCCCTTGCAAAATACTAAGCACATCATACCAAATAATGGATTGCTCAAAACCTTCAATTTATTTTTTTCCAGAGAACCTATACCTGTGGCCAGCTTCTTCTAACAAGGTTCTTATACCCATTTGTATTCAGTTTTTAAAACATCAATAGAACGAATTTCTGCAGAAAAATACACTATTGGGAATCAACATTAGATGGTCCGTCCCGTCCCCCGTCCCCCCCCAAAAAAGGAAAAGAAAAAGAAACACAGTGGCCCTGGCTGACATGCAGATCAGAATGGTAGCATTTCCAACAATCCATAGGTTACCAATTTCTCACTGAATGCATAAGTATAATAATTTCTAATTTTTAAAAAACGATTCTTAGGCAAATATACACGAAGCTCTTTAACTTATTTACAGCTGAACAGGCAGTGTATATATTCCAAAGCATTGTTTCTCATCCTTGGCTAGCTGGGGAGGTTCTAAATTTGAAGTCTACACCTTTTAAAGTCCCAAAGGACATGCCTTTCTCAAAACAACCTGCAATATTTGTAGTGCTAACAAAGTATACCGTATAGGATAGTACTTTGAGCCTTAATTGTTTAATCCACACCAACTAAAGCTTTAAAGTCGCAATACACTTTTAATAGTAGATTAAAAATTGCTTAATGTTGCAAAGACCTCAAAGGTTAGCCAACGCCCTCCTTCTGCTTCAAATAATACAAAGTAATAAACATAGCTATGAGTCTTTTGCTAATTTTACCCCTAAGCTAAGCAAATAGCAGGCCCTTTTCAGTTCAGATTTATGGGATGGAGGAAGATCATAGGGACAACAAGATATTAACGAGAAACAATTCCCAATATATCCATAAGGACTTCCTCCAAGATACAATGTGACAGTACTGCAATTGCGATGGAACGAAGCAGTTCACCAGTGCAGTAAATTATAATATTAGAGTAAAAACAAGAACTATGTGGAATTGGAAGTTACAGAATTTCCCTAACTGCAATCTCAGGTCACAATACTGTTGATTCTTGGACTTGCTTCCTTTTAAAAGACACCTTTAACATTTATATTATTGGGACCAATAGTGCTGGCTTCTAAAGCTGATGATGAAGAAATTGTAAGCACTGTTTCCCTGAGTTCTTTTGTTTAGGATAGCTGCTAAATGAATTCCCATTCAAGGGAAGTCAGAGAATTGTCACATGACATTTCTGAAAAAAAGATCCTCAAAAGACTACCTCGCTGACAAAATGTGAAAAAATGTATTTTGTTGATAATCGATATATGCTAAAATTGCTAACTTCACTGACTAGTGTTTCTTATCTTTTAAAATTTAATCAATATCATGTAATCCATCCCAGACTGAAAATACTATGACCGTTCTTGGTATGATAAAGTTTAAAAGATTTATTCTTACCTATATTGGTGTGCCTTGAAGCTCCTGGAGTACTCCGATTCTGAAGGTTGTGGAGCATGGGGCTATCAAAGGGAGATGAAGTCCAACTGGTGCCCAATTCTGGGGTCATATAACTTGCTGGATATGGACTGGAATAGGAGCCACTGAAACTCCGAGCATACTGGTCCCTGCTATTGGCCGAGATACTAAGAGAGCTGCTATAAGCAGATGCTTCTCTGGAAGTAGTTGCTGGGATGGGGGTGCTGGTAGCAAAGGAGAACCTTGGAGATACTGATGGATGAGAAGATCCAGGGTTGTAAGCAACAGTCTCAGCTCCAGGCTGAGTCCAAATGGAGTGACTGGATACTGGGCTGCCTTGCTGGGATGAACCACTCCCTTGGAGGTAAGGCAGGCTGGGGATCATGGTAGTGACCCTTGTGGTTGGTATGTAGACAGGAGAAGAAGCAGCTGCGGTGTGCATAAAACTACTGGTCCCTTCATAGGCTGGTGGGCCATGGTTGGCTGCCATTGCTAAACTCTGGTACATCTCTGAAGGTGCAGATTGGGCCTTGATTTGCAACTACCTCAACCACACGGACAAGTTATCTCCAGAGATCCAGGTTTGAAGGCAAGTATGAAGGCACCTTCCTCCACAAAGGGCAGGATGGACCATGCAGTTCCGACTCAGATCCAGCGAGGATGATTTCCAATCCAGGAAAAATCCTTAACAGAACTGCCTAGGTTCCACTTCAGATCTTTCCAGACTTATCTGAGCCATCAGGAGTGGCAGAATCTTCAGATTTTCAGTTCACACCTACAACAGAGGTAAAATTAAAATGAGATTGTATCCAGAATGAAAAAAAAGAGAAAAAGAAAGCAGAAAAGCCTCCCCATTAAAAGTATTTTAAGTGACCCTGGGGAAGAGGTTAGAGATAGATACAGGTAGTCCTTGACTTATAACCACAATTGAGCCCAAACTTTCTGTTGTTAAGTGAGATGTTTGTTAAGCGACTTTACAACATTCCTTGCCTCAGTTGCTAAATGAGTCACTGCAGTTGTTAAGTTAGTGACTGCCTCAGTTAGTCACTGCCTCAGTTGCTAAATGAGTCACTGCAGTTGTTAAGTTAGTGACAAGGTTGTTAAGTGAATCTGGCTTCCCCATTGGCTTTGCTCATTAGGTCACAAAAGGTGATCACATGACCTTGGGATGCTGCAACCGTCATAAATATGAGTCAGTTGCCAGGCTGCAACAGTTGTCACTTTTTTCAGTGCTATTGTAACTTTGAATGGTCACTAAATGAGCTGTTGTAAGTCAAGGACTACCTGTACTCCTTAACCAAATGCTCCTTGTGAAATCAATCCTTTTCCTTCAGATAACTTACTCTTTTTGTTTTAGTTAAACCCAAGGCTATTATTTGATCAAATCACATTAAGCAGATTCAAAATCTGGATTTGAATGAGGAAATGGGAAGTGGAATTTTGAAGGAGCTGAGATCCTAGTGACTACATGGACACAATCATACAGTTAATCTGCTCCAATCCTTATTAGTTTCTAAGCTAAGGTCAATTTTTCTACCTGCTAAGCAGAGAGGGAGAGAAAAATCAGGAGTGATAGTAACATCTTATTCATGCAGGAAAATGAAAAATGTTGGGCATAAGTAATGGTGAAGTAATGGTGAAGTCAGTTGTATACTACTGTTAGGGTTTTTTCCCATTTGGTGGCTTCCAGATATATTAAACTACAACTCCAGAAATCCTAGATAATGTGAATAAATACACTTCAGAAGAAGTTCAATGCTTTGTGAATATCAGAATAATGGAAATAAGTTCTACAAATGATTGATCAACAGTGTTTTTTTCTTCAAAAAATATTTCTAGTTGAAAATTTGAAAATATCTCAGAGATTCAAAATACAGGAATTTACACCATAAATATAAGTTCCAGCGGCTAAGACTGTGATCATGATCTGGATTCCTGCAAAACCATATTCAGGAATAATTTACAGGATCAATTATTGCATGCAAATGCTTGCAACATATACACATAGCAGCATTAATTTTCACACAAACATATCAATAAAAGTTCTCACCAAATGAATTCATAAACAGCTAAAAGTATCAGAATAGGAAGAAATGTTTGTGCCTGCATCAACAGAAGGAAATGCAGCCTTTCAACACAGCCTTTCCCAATTTGAAACTTGCTAGATGTATTGGACTTCAACTTAAAAAATATTCAGTTAATAATATTCATATCTAGAGAGCAGCAGGCTGGGAAAGGCTGTTCTAATTTCTGTTGATGCAGGAACAAAGTAAGCTTGTTCATTTCCAGATGAGAACAAGGCTTGCCCTGCCAGTTGTCCTGATAAATTATTTGAAAACGTTTATGTCTCAATGTAAATTGAGGCTGGCCCGGTTTAAAAAACACACACAAAAATGCATTGCTGAGTATACATTTAGTTGCACATCCCCAAAATTTTAGCATTTAGCATTTTGGCAAGAACACTACTGACATACATAGCCATGATAGTTGACTACACTGTTGCCTAGGACTTAATGGTCTGTGGCTACTCTAAGTAAATGATGAAGAACAGAAAGAATTGAGTGTTGTTTACAAGGATCAGTTAACTCTGCATGTAAAGATACATTGCATGCACGTGTACACACACACACACACACACACCACTGTCACTAAGTGGAATTTTCTAAATAAGACAAAAAATGGCAACACTTCATTTCCATCAGAGCTGCCATTACAGGGATATTAAAAATTTGTCCCTAATCTTGGTGAGTACACAACTATAAGATCTCAAGTCTATTCTTAACTTAAATCACACACACACACACACACACACACACACACACACCAAATTTATGCCCTCTGGAGATACCGAAGTGCAATTCTCATCATCCTGATCTATCCTGGACACTCAGCCATAAAACTCTATTTGTGATCTGTTTTCTAATTACACTAATGTGTGACAGTTTTATATAAAACAATGGTTAAAACAGCTATAGCCAGTTTAACCATTTAAAAATACTATTTTAAAGCAAATAAGTTGTTGCTTATGGACTGCATTCCCACAATATACAATATACAGGTTAACAAAACAAATTGTATGTGCATATTACTATGCATGTACATACATACTATGCTAAAGCAAATATTTGCGTAACATAATTGCCTGTTTTATATAACCATGCTAAAACAACAGCTGAGTTCTGACAACACACTGTATCATAAAATGTGTTATCATGCTTTAGTGTAGTCTTGTACAAATCCACAAATAATATGGGTTTGAGATCAAACCAAAGAGAGAGAAAGTACAAGAGAAAAACTCAAATGTACCTAGAGTAGTACAGTATGTCTACCTGGTGACCTATAAATCAAATGTGTACAGACAGACTTTGACCATTCTGTGCCAAAGAGTCTCAGAAGTTTCTCTTTTGTTCATTACTTCCTTTTTATAAGACAAACTCATGGCTTTGGAAAAGGACCTATGATCAAGAAACTGACTGAGCTGTGCATACATTGTAGATTTGGACAAAATTCCTACTCATCCAACAACAGAAGCTAGAGTGAGATCCAGGGGCTACCAACCTCCTACATGCACCAATGCACTTTCCAACTAAACTACTAAAACTTCTGCTTCTGGGGACCCCAGGTTGCAACACGTTCAACCAATGCCTATTGTCATCCTTCCCCAGATCTTTCCTTTCCTCATCGTCTTCTAGACCCCAGCAGATCCAGATCAGCTTAAGCAACCTGAGCTGGAAAGACTAGAAGGTGAAGCAAAGAGCAGAGATTAAAGTTGGGGGCAGGCTGGGAAATATCTTTCACCGTCACAAGCATTTGTGTGCGGGAAGGGGTGCTTTCCATCAAGGATTGCAGAGGAGACCCAGGACAAAGAATTATCCAAGAATTGTCACACAGCCATCCTGTGAATTGTCATCCTGTGCTGGCCTAATCTGAGGGTGATCCTGCTGCATTTAATGAGTCTTACTCTCCGGGAAGCAGGCCTAGAATCAAGGCCTTCAGGACTCACTAGTATTTCCATGGAAAGGCATCTATTTTGAAGAATAGGCTTACTAACCTCTCACTTTTTCTCTTGGCTACACACCAGGACATTGGTGCATTTTCTAAATGTGAAATGTGGATGGCTGGAGTTGCCGACAGAGTTATATTCCAGCTGCGGATTTTTAAGTGTGAATTCAGATTGCCACCTCCTTTCCCCCTCCCACCCCACTCTTCAATGCCTCAAGCAAAACCATATTCATCAGTCTCTATCTCATATACCAGGAGGGAGGGAGGGAGAGAAAAAGAAGGAAAGAAAAAGAAAAAGAAAAAAAGAAAAAAAGAAAAAAAGAAAAAAAGAAAAAAAGAAAGAAAGAAAGAAAGAAAGAAAGAAAGAAAGAAAGAAAGAAAGAAAGAAAGAAAGAAAGAAAGACAATTTTAAAAGGTGAAATTAATGAAAGAAGTGTGAAAGAAAACTGTTGAAAGAAATCTCGGACAAAACTAGAAAAAGCTAGTATTCCTTCCCCCGCAGTTTCTAATATATTTCCAGTGAAATAAAAATCACCTGACTGCCTTAAAATCACCTTGATAGCAATTACTAACATATTACTATCACTACATTTTTTTTCCACAGTTATTTGAGAAAACATGTCTACTGTTATATTCTAGTGAAATTATTTGATAATAAGCAAGCAAATCTTAAGTGGCACATGGGGTACCTATAAAGCGTAAAACTATAAAACTTCAAGAGAAGTTGGAAAAACATTTGAAAAATATTATCTATAAAACAAAATGGTTGTATTTAGGCAGTATTTGCACCTTTCATGTATTTCTACAAAATAGTCATATATCGGCACAATTCACCCACACAGTTTACCTACTTCCTACCTAATATGTATTAATCTTCCCATCAAGATTAATGGATTTGAAAGTGATTTCTACTGGATAATGGAATTCAATTAAATCAGAATATAGATCTAAAGAATGCAAATATGAACCCTTAACACTATTTTCATTATCTCTTTGTTATAAGTAAATAGAGAAGAATTAATTATTTTAAAGGTAAAATCGAAGTAGCATAAAGATATCAGAATTACACCAAAAGGCATTATTTCCACCCATCATTTTCTAGAAATATTTGTATGAAGGTGCACAAACATTTTATTGGTGTACTTTCAAAGTACATTTGAAGAGTAAGAGAAAATGTGTGTTAATATTTGAAGCTATTGCAAATAGAAATAACTGACTGTAATAAATAGTTGAAACAGATCCACCATTTCCGGCAATTTTTACCTGCTCAGGTTAAAATAATATATTACTTCCCTATACTGTTTTAAAATAATCACAACAGAATAAGAAAGGACATGGTAGAATAATAATAACAACAATGCAGCATAGTACATTCACCCATTCTGAAAAGAGCAATATAAAAAAATTGAAGGGAGGCCTATATTTGTAATCTCTTCTGGTTTTTTTACGTTTCTAATCTTTTCTCAACTCCTTTTGAAAACCAGAATTCTGTTGTTTTTGAACCAAAGAATATACTACGGGCCTGCAGATTTTCTCTGAGAAACCCCCGCCATTCTCTTAGGAAAAAAAACAAACGGAGAGGGGCTCAGTATATGGGTTCCCTTTTAATTGGGATAAACAGGAAAGAAAAGCAAGTT